GGTGAGACCTCATCTCTACAATAAATCAAAAACTAGTCAGGCGTGATAGTGCACGCCTGCAGTTCCAGCTACTTGGAAGGCTGAGGGGGAGGATCGCCGGAGCCCAGCAGGTTGAGGCTGTGGTGGCCGGGAGCGTACCACTGCACTCCAGTCTTGGCAAGAGTGAGACGCCAACTAAAAAAAAAAAAAAAAAGAAAGAAAGCAGTTGGTCCCTACACATGAATGCCTCGTACATGCGAAAGGCAACCTTACCCAGAGACAACCTACCCCCCCTAATGCATCTCCCCCCTTTCTTGGTGTCAGGGGTTCTAGAATTTAACCCAGCTACAACGCAGTCAGGCCTGAGGCTTCCTCCAACCTGATAAGGGCATCCAAGGCTGTCTTCTCCCCCCTGTACATTTCCTACAGCTCATCTGCTCAACACCGTAAACCCAAGTGCTCAGCATCCCTGGGCACTGCATTACAACGGACAAGACACTGTCTCTACCCTAGCAGTTCTAGGCATCCAGTCCTGGTGTCAATCCTGACAGAGAAGGATGAGTCTGCCTTTTTCTTTCTTTCTTTCTTTTTTTTTTTAATGGAAATGGCTTTACTCTTTTGAAAATGTAAAAATAAAATCCACGAGACAAAATATTGCATGCATTGCAATACACGTGGAAGACGAAGTTGAGAAAACTTCTCAAAAGAATAGAGCAAACAGATTTTAAAAATAGGAGGAGAGAGCACGAAAACTTTACGGTAGTGATCTAAGAAACTCAACATTTAAAAAGTGGGCATTCCGTGTAATCCCGCGCCTTTGGGAGGCTGAGGTGAGTGGATTGCCTGAGCCCGTGGGTTCGAGACCCACCTGGGCAGCGAGACCTCATCTCTACAATAAATCAAAAAATCAGCTGGGCGTGGAAGCGCGCGCCTGTAATTCCGGCTCCTCGGAAGGCTGAGGCAGAAGGATCGCCGGAGCCCAGCAGGTCGAGGCTACGGTGGCCGGGAGCGGCCACTGCACTCCAGTATGGGCGACAGAGTGAGACTCCTACTCAAAAAAATAAAAAAAAATAAAAAAATAAAATAAAAATTTAAAAAAAAAAAAAAGTGGGCATTCCGGAAACACAATAAAGAGAAAATACAAGAAAATCACGAAGAAACAAATGACAACAGATGGAAGTTTCCAAGTTGAACAGCGGCTGAGTACCCAGCACAAAGGATGCAAACAGACCCATGCCAACACACCTCATCAGGTACTGGGGGTAATGAGACAATACAAAATTCCAGAGATAAACAAAGGCCCTTCCCAATCCAGCCCTTCCACAGTTGGGCCTCCTCCTGGTACATCACAGTCCCCCTTCCCGCCTGTCTCCCCTCAGATGTGAGTCAGATCGTGTCCCGCCTCCAAAACCCTCTCATAGTTTCCACCGCACTCAAAATAAATAAAACACTAAGAAAACAGGAGATTCCAGCTTTAGGTGAACCTCTCAAGTCTGAGGACTCTTACAAGCATACCAGTTTTGAAGGCATGAATAAAGGATTCAGACAGCCACCAAAAGGGAACTTTTTCTCCCCTATCGATTTCATTCTTTGTGTCTTTTTTTCCCCTTAGTCATCAGTCCACACTTTTTAACGCAGAATGCTGGCAATATCAGTATTCTATCACACAGAATTGCTTCTGAATAGGGCTTTTAATGTAAAAAGTCTTCACAAGGTTTCAAAAGAGCAGATGAGAAGTAGGCAAAATCCCCATGAGAACCAACATTCTCTCAATTCTCCATGAAATGATGACTAGGAAAAGAAAAGACTTATTGAACATGAAGCAGTTCTAGACAACAGGCCAGGCTTCCCAAACTTGCACTGATCATCAGATTATCATCAGTCTGGGAAGTAAAAGCCTGCATACTACTTCTTGAATATAAAAAGCATTCAATCTATGTCTAACCAAACTGAATTAATGAAAGGGACCTCCAAGATCCTCAAGCCAAAAAGCTTATACTTTGAGGTTTGATCCATTTAGTAAACAATTATTGAACTCCCTCTTTACTCCCAGCTCTTTTCAGGGGTCGAAGATACGTCAATGAAAAAGCAGACTGGGTCTATGCCCTCTTGTCGCTGACGTTCTAATGGAAGTGTCAGGTCATATGACAAGGCAGGGTGGTAGGAATATTACACACATGGCAATAAAAATGTGAAAGATAAAGTTGAGAAAATTTCTCAAAACACAGAGCAGACAGACTTAAGAGGGATTACTTTTTGTTACTTAAACTTACAGACTTAAGAGGGATGACTTTTTGTATATTTGTATTTAACCACACTAGATAATATTCAAGCTATAAAACAAGTAATGTATCTTTTACAAACACTCTTAGCGTTGTTCTTATGCAAGATTAACATCCTGACTCCCTCTGCCCATGCAGTTGGATTACTCGAAAAGGAGAATTTGTCTATCTAAAAGGATTACTTTATATAGGACTGTCAAAGACTCTGGGAGGATACATTTCACCTAAGGCCTTGATAATGACAAAAATCCAGCCAAATGAAGATCAGTCGAAGGAAAAACAAGAGCAAAAGACCTACCGTAAAGACAGAGTAAAGTGTTTGAAAACAAAAAATAATACAAACTGGTCAGAACATAATAAGAAATGAGAAAGATGGTCCTAGCTGAGACTGAAGAGTTAAGTAGGCGCCATATTATGTCAAGGCTGGGTAAGGTGAGGCGTATGTATTTCTCTTCCATACCTGTGCTACTGATAGCCAACTCCGTGCTCATTGCTTGTAAACAAAAATAAACAAGCATGAGATGCTTCCAAGAAACCACTTAAGATTTTTGGGCTGAGGGTAAAAGTATGAGAGGAAGGCTTGGCATGGGAAATGTGCAGGAGTTGCCCAGGGTACAAGTGTCTGTTCTGATGGCTGATCTTGGGTGGTGGGCCCCCTGGAGGTCTGCTCGGTGTTATCCCAGCTGCAGTCAGGTTATGCATCATCTCTCTTGAGATTCCCCACAAGCAGGAGGGTCCTACAGCTGGACTGTTTTAAGATCAGTCCATGGAATTTCTAAACAAGTATGCACGGTGCAGGAGAGATTCTGGTAGATTAAAAGGCAAAAAGTAGTTTCTAGAACATATTTCAATGCTTAAGACTAAGAAAGGAGAAAGAAACACTTTAAAATACATTTTAAGGCTGAGATACTCAGTTATAGATGGAAAAAATATTAAGATTGTTTCTTTCACATCACTTCACATGCTACTGTACTCACTTACCATCAACTTCCAAGAAGCCAACAAATGAAATGAAAAGTGTGTCTTTAACTGTCCTTTTCATTTTTTAATTCAACCATAGTCACCTAAAACATGGGGGGAAATTCCTTTTTAAAATGAAGATACAGTTTTGTCTCATTTACAGGAAAAGAGACCTCTTGACAACGAAATCAAGGAAATTCAGTATCGCAGCTGACCACTTTATCTCCTTTTCTGCTATGCCACACAAGGTAGACCCTGAAAGCAGGAAGACTGCTTAGTGTGCCACCACACTGAGCAAGCTAGGATGGGAGCCGTAGGCCTGTGGTGCCATATTCTCCAAGCTGGCTTGTACTGCAACTGTCACATTATTTCAAGACACTTTTAAATTTATCATGTCCTTCCCTCTCCTTTTGGTGTGTACACCTAGATGCTTCTCTTTATATTCTACTCTTTATTAATCTTACTTTCGTAGCCATGGCCTTACCCAGGTAAGCATTATCCATCCATATCATCACAGGCTTACTCGGTTAGGGTTTGCCAACCAGTGTAAAACAAACCATTTCCATAGATTCAAGGAGCCTTGAAAGGCAGTCACGGAGAAGTACTGGCTAGTTAGGCCAAGAGTAATGGTATCATGAAGACAACTCATTCAAAGCCTTGAAGAAACCCATTTTCCAGTGTCACTTTGCCATAATGTACAATTGCCCCAAATAATGCAAAGATCAAAAATAGCCTGGAGGAATAGAGCTAAAACATAGTATACCATCTATACCATCTCTACAGAAAGGATATATACTGTTATCTTCTCTGCCTGGCTAAATAATAAGACACTCTCGAAATGCAGCTCTTCCTAAACATTTAAAAAGATAATTTTGTTTCTCCTATTATAAAATTATTTAAGTACATAAAATGGGAATGTCTTAAAAATGGTGAAGTCTTCTCTTTACTGAGACTACCCAAAATGTGGTATATACTGGGCCAAAAAGAGTTTCCAGTCCTGTGAACAATTATATTACAAGACTGTCTCAAGTCAGCGTGTACAGATTGCACACAAACATCCCAACCTCACAACTGCTCTCTCATTTCCACATCACTTCAGTCAACAATCCGTACTGGTCCTGCTCCCAAATCTCTGATCAAATCCACTACACTACTTCTATTCATAATGCCCTCATTCAGGCTCTTATCATCTCCCCCCAACACTAGCCTACCAGCCTCCAAATTCATCTACCTGATTTAGTGCCACCTCTATTTATTTTACTTTCACACTCACAAGAGAGTTATCTTTCTGAAATACATTACAGATCTTGGAATTCCTCTGCTTAACAACATTATCTTCCTTTCAACCAGTGCACAGAGTCTCAGCACACGAGGCCTTCAAAATTCGGCCCCACCCACATCTCCAGCTTTCTCCCCCGCAGTTATCCTATTTATCCCATACACCAGCCACAGAAAACTATGGTTTTAGTTCAAACAAGCCATAATTTGTCACACACCATTCTGCCCACTATGCACTCTTTCATGACTGGCTTACCCTCTTCTCTGCCTCCCAAACTCCTACTGATTTTTCATGGCCAAACTCAAACATCACCTCCTCTGTGAAGATTCCCTAGATCTCCAAGGCATAAATAACACCAGCCAACTTGCTTTGACCAGGTAGCTCTTGGTACACATCACTTTTACAGACTACCCTCTACCATAGTGTGGTTAAAAATACACAGGCCACACGTACGATTTTAAATTTCTGGGTACCCCATTAAAAAGGTAAAAGGAAATTGGTAGATTTTAATAATATGTTTTATTTAACCAGGTAAATCCAAAATAGTATCATTGCCACATATAATAATACCAAAAACACACAAGATATTCAGTTTTTATATTAATTCTTATAAAATTTTAAGTATGTTTTACATCTACAGCATATTTCAAATTCAGACATTAGGTTGTTATCAAAAATAACTGGTACACATTCAGATTTATAAATATTACCATTGAAAAAGTAGGTTCACAAACACAAATTACTCTATATGTGCTTGACATTTTTCTAATAACTGAATCAAGTATCAGTTTTTTTATTTTAAAGTGAAATAGAAATTAAATAACATTTCAAAATCAGTTCCTCAGTCGTACTATATTTCAAGTGCTCTAGCATACTGGAAAGCAGTGAGCGGCTATTACACTGGACAGTGCGGCTCTGCTGCCATTATTTGTGCACTCATCTCCTCCCAACTAAGTTGGACCGTGCCTGATTTAGTTGTGTGCCCCACTGTGTAGCTTAACACACAAATGGTGCTTTGTGAAAGTTCGTGGAAGAAATGAAAAATAAATGTGGAGATTACTTGACCCTAGTGCAACTTGAAATCAAGACCATTCTTTTCTAAAGAATATAAATGGAATTTCATGAATACACATACACATTCAATTCCTCTTACAAACACAAGCACATGCATACACACAGAGGCCTGCAGCATTATTCACAATAGCCAAGATAAGGAAACAACCTATACGTCCACCGACGGGCAGATACAGAAAATGCCATGTATTAAAAAAAGGAAGACTACACAGCCTTAAAAAAAAAAAAGGCGGAAACTCTGCCACATGTGACAATGAGGACAAACCTGAAGCACATTATGCTAAGTGAAAGAAGCCAGGACAGAAAGACAAATAGGACATGCCCGCTGATAGGAGACATCTGCAACAGTCAGTCATTCGCAGAAAGTAGCATGGCGGACGTCAACGACTGGTGATTGCAGGAGATGGAGAGCTGCTCTTGAGGTTATGAGGTTCCAGTTATGCATGGACACGTCCTAGAGATCTACGGTGCAGCACTGGACACAGAGATAACAACACTGTACTATGCACAGCAACATTCAAGAGAGTAGAACTCACGCTAAGCATTCTTACCACAAAGAGAGAAGAAACGTGATAGCAAAAAACAACACAAAAACAAATGGACTACCCTGGTACAGGATGTTGATGGGTGCAGGGAGAGGGCAAGCCATATATGAAGGCTCTATGCTCTCTTCCCCAATTTTTCCGAGAACCTAAAACTGCTCTAAAAATGAAAGTCTATGTAAAAGGAAAAATAAAACAAAATCAGTTAGGACTTAGTACATTTGATTTGTGACCAATTCCTTCAATAATAAAAATTTACTTCACACACATTATCACCCTCCTTTCTATGCCTTCACCCTCCATTTTTTCTTGGCTTAATACAATTATGGGGATTCTATATAATTAGCACTTCACAATATGTTTTTACATTCTCTGATTGTTTTACCTTCTCAAATGGTATTTCCAGTTTCTGGAGATAAAGACCATTCCTTGTACTTTGTAACTGTTATCACACATGGTTTAACAGTAAAATAACAAAACAAAAGCATTAAACATATGACTCCCTTCTCAGATGTCTTCTTTATCAGTTAAAGCCTTTCCCAATCGATCTCAGCAACCTAATCTCTCAACACACACTGAACTCTGGGTAGCTGAGCAGGGACCAGTGATCTATGTGTTTGGCATGTATTTCAGCATCACTATGCACACTGCAGAGCTAAATGTTCTTTGCCCTCAAAAGAGGTGGGATCGTTCCCAGTATTTGGTGCAAGATCTCACATCACCTAGTGCCACTCCCAGCTCACACCTGTAATCCCAGCACTTTGGGAGGCCGAGGTGGGAGGACAGTTGGAGCCCAGGAGTTTGAGACCAGCCTGGGCAATAAAGCCAGACCTCACCTCCACACAAAACTTCAAAAACCAAAAAAAGTGCTCTTTAATAGGTGCTGCTTCCTGTCCCCACGTCCCACTCCACGACCTACAGCCGGTCACAGGACGCAGCCACAGCGGGACAGGAGAGAGTTCTGTGAGGACGGTGATCTCCTCAGGCTTGTTGCTCCACCTCCCTGACTATCGCTAACTGATGAACAAATGCATACAAGCGAATTTCCACAAGTATAGTAGGTTTATCTTTATTTCAGTGTTGCTTGAATAAGAACAGATAAAAAGCACAAAAAACGCCTCGGTGAATCACTCACAGGGTTCCTCTAAATCCATGTTAGCATTCTTCCTCTTTTGCTTGCATAGCTCTTTGATGGCCTCTAACTCCGCAAGACTAAACTTGGGGGTGAGTGTCACATTGTCGTAATCAAATTCTTCATCAAGTGAGAAGGGCTGAACTTCATCTCCAAGTATCTATAAAAAACAGTGAAGGAGGAAGAAACATATACAATCAATTGTAAATGAAGATAAAGTTGAAAACATAAACTCCCTATTAATATTTAATTAAACATTTTTTAGACTTCAGCACTCGTGGCTGATTAAGCTCTTTCTAAGTAAAGGAATAAATTTAATTATTCAATTTGACCTAATTTAAGCCTCTTAATATGCCCCGTTTGTACCACGCTGTATCTGAATTAATATCATTAACTAGTTCCACCTAAGACAAGAATCAGAAAGTCTTCCCTGCACATGTTCATTATATTTTTACCATGTGTAGTGTCAGAACTAGAGAGGCATATAGAAAAATTAAGAGTCCCACTTAAAATGTGAGAAAGTACTCCTTAAGATTTTGATCAACCTTAAATACATTTTCACCGTTTACTAAAAAAAAAATCTAGATTAAGAAAACACAATTTTCAAAGATAAAAATACTCTGCTGAAAATACCTCTCCAGATAATACCTATAACTTCTGGTTAATAAAAGTAAACATTATTACACATAGTTTAAATTCAAAAGTCCAGGGCCCATTTTTTTCCTACCAAGAGTTTAAAAAGTATTATGGCTTATCTATAAGCAAGAGTAGCTGCAAAGAGATAAAATAATTGTGTACCTACTTATTCATAATTTGTTCGTTTTAAAGACTTCCTCTAGGAAAAAGTATACTTTCCCATAAACCAAAAGAGAATGCCTTTAATCTCCTGTATCACCCCCTAAAAAGCCTCTCCAAAAACAAATGGTGTGATACAATGAAGTCAGTTAGCACCTCTATGTAGCTCTGTAATATGCATAGTGACACTGAAATAACTGAAAACTGTGGTTTATGCAAGAATGAAAAAGGGCCCTGGAGCTGTAATCAGTTCTAAATATTCTTGCACAGATTATTTCATTGAGTGGCTTTTGCAATATGGTAAAAATGGAGCACAGAGCTCAGAAACTATCTGCTGCTAGGAAGGGTGAAAAAGGAACTATGAGAAGTCCACTCCATGCGTTCTGTCTTATGGTGAGGCATGCAGTGCTGACAGTAAACACCAAGTCATTGTCATCCTTTTTTGTAAAACCAGCAAGAGAACAAGTTCCAGGGACTCATTCATCTCTTCTGCATGAGAAGGTACCAGAGTGCTTTCCTGACAAAGGCACTGATAAGAGCTGCCACTAAGTGAGTCCCACCACATACCGGCCCTGGGACTGGGAACCATGTGGCATTGGCAGCAATCCTCAAACAACCCTGCCAGTAGTCCCGTTCCCCCCACCTATGAAGTTCTGAAGGTGAAGGAACTTTCCCAAGACGACACAATTAGCAAGAGAGAGAAGCAGCATTTGAATCCAGGGAAAACTGCTTTGACCAAAGCCTCAGGACTCAACAAAAACACCAGCAAAAATAAATCTTGACATTTGCACTAGGCCACAAGACCTTTCTTAATAAGCTGAACAATTCCCACAGTCTACCATTAAAAACGTGCTCAAGGCTACACGTACCACAACTGTCTTTCAAAAGTAGCTGGACGCACAAAGAAAATCATCTTGCAAAGGGATGGACCGGTCCAATTTGTCACTTTCTGACAGCAAATGTATCACCGCCATAGCCAAAGAGGGAGCAGGCAAAATTGCTAAGACCAGCTCAAGTGGAGAGGCACACGCACAGTGACACGGACGTTCATCCCTAATGTGAACACTCCTGCTATGTTGGACTTGACTGAGCAGTACAGGTTTGGCCACAGCACACGCTGAGCTGACTCCAGCCAGTCCTGGCAACCCCATCTGGGCCAACGCACATAGTCTGGTGGACGTGATGCTGGCTTTTCACGCCGCCTGGCCGAGGCCGTCACCACATGTCTGCCAAGCTTCAGGCTGCCATCCCCCCTGTGCTACTGTACTCGGACTCTTGGGCCTGCTAGACCTCATTAGCTGTTCTCGCCATGGGCAGTCACTCTGTCTTCACTCACCCCCAGGGAGGCAAGAGTGCAACTGCACATTAGACGCATTCCTCTGCTGTGCTGAAGTCCTGGTGACACCACATCCTGCCCCCGCCCTCCCTTCCACAATGGTCACCCTCATGGTCCCACTCCTCCCCTTCACTGCTCACTCAATAACCACTATGTGTTAGATACTGGGAAGACAATGAGAACATAGCAAAACCTCGTGAAACAAGGTTTCATAACTCCAAGGAGGCAGCAGAAGTGAATGAATGATTTCAAAGCCAAGTGTCGTGCTCTCCAACACAGGCATGCAGAAACAGGCCACAGAGGTGCAGGAGGGAAACACAGCAGCTCGACCTACTCTTAGTTGAGTGTGATTACCCTCAGCAAAGGCTGCTCGCTCCTCCACACGTTACCCCCCTCACCACCCACCTCGCCATAGCAAGCCAGACAGAGTGAGGCCTGTGTCCTGGACTCCCCAGCTGCTGGACCAGGCCGACGCCCGCTGCCAAGTCAGTTCTCCTAGACTGGGCCGACCTCATTGCCCTCCACTCCTCTCCCTTCCCTGAGCTCTCAAAACGCACCATGGCTGTAATACCCAACATTTTGCAGAGCACAAGACACGGAAACTTGTTCTCAGACGGGAAAAAATTATTTTCTTCATCCACTGAAATTCTTCTCTGCTGTGGGACATTATTTTCTTCATCAGTCACTTGTCAATAACCAAAACAAAAACATGGAATAAAGTTCTCAGGACATCACAAAACATAATGCCAACACAATGGCTATTCATTTGTAATATACTTCAGGTATAAAAATACACTTAAAGATACCAATTTATTAACTTAGAGACTAAGAGCTATTAACAACAGCTATTGTTAGGTTAATTTCCTAGGCAATCAGGCAATGAAACCAAAAAGCAAGAAATTAAGAATAGTAATAATCTCATCTTTGCAACGGCAAAATATGGTATTCAGGACATTTTAAACCACTTTAGGGATATACGGCAGCATGTTCAGCACATCTATGAGTCGAAAAGTCAGAGAAACAGCCTCCTGCAACCATTCATATGTTTGTCATTCTTCCCGTAAACTCTATGTTCCCATTAAATTCTAGTCACCGTGTTAGGTTCCGGGGATACAAAGATAAAGACCTACATGAAATCACAGACAAGTAGATAAACACATAAATAAGCCCTTATAGCAAAATGTGGTAAGAACAAATGGTATAGTTAGGGAGTGATGGCAACAGAGAAGAGATACCTAAGCCAGACCAGGTTGGAGGGAATTGGGAAGGAATCAGAGAAAGCTTGGAGAAGTGAATCTTAAAGGGTGAATATTAGTTAACAAGAAGAGCTTTGCAGACAAGGAGAGTTTGCATGAGCAGGCCATTGAGGTAAGATACAGAATTTCACACTTGTGAGTCTGAAAGTAATTCAGCATCGTTGGAGCACAACATGTACAGTACAGACTATCCTGTCAAGAGTCAAAGATGGTGCCCAACAGCCACTAAAGACTTTTCTTGAGGCAAGGCAGACACTTGGTCACCTGTGCATTTCAGATAAATTCCCTCATTCATTCAGCTTTTTGCTGAGCACCTATAATGAGACAGGAGCTGGAGCACAAAAGAGAAAGATGCCCTGTCCTCTTGGAAATTATGTCAGGCCACTGTGAAGATTAAGCAGAAGGCAGATCTGAGGGGGATGAGCCTAGAGTCAGAAGACAGGGCAGGATCCTGCAGAAGACATCCAGGCAGGAGATCATGAGAACCGGACACTGGCGGCAGAGAGGTGCACAAGATGTAGAAAACCGGCAAGGCTCCGTCACTGACTGGATGCAGAAATGCACAAGAGGCAGAACGCAGGAAGGGAAGCAGGTAACGATACGCTGTTTTTAACATGGTGAACTTGAAGGTACTTGAAGAATCCAAACGGAGAATCAACAGCAAGTTGAATACACAAACCTGAAGCTCAGAACAAACGCCTGCCTGAGCACAAAGGCAGTAATTTAAAGATGAAAACTGATCCAGTACGAAGGGCGGGGGCTGGGGAGAATCAAAGGTTAAACAGGGAACCCTAAGGAACACCAGCCCTCAAGAGGTCCGTGGAGAGAAGATCCCCAAGCAGGCAGGGAAAGGACACTGAGAGACACACAAAAAATCCGAGAGCGGCAGATGAGCGCCAGGGAGCCAAAGTGTCAGGGAAGTGCAACGGCATCCAGCCCCACGGAGAAAACCAGGAACCCGAAGTCTGAAAAGTGCTCCTCGCCAGATATGGCAAGTATAATGTATATAAAGCATAAAGGGCTCCTTCATTCCGAAGATACGCAGGCGGGTGACTGGAGTCAAGGACATTCTGGAATACGCTGAATGAGCACTAGCGGAAGAAAGCAGAGTTGACTAGAAGAGTAGTAGAATGGTTTCTCAAGTCTGGATGAAAAGAGAGGGAAAAAAATAGACAGTAGCCGAAGAGAGGTCCAAGATGAAGGGGGGCTTGTTTTTGCCTGTTTCTTTCATTTTGCTAAGGACAGGAGAGACTTAAACATGTTTACATCTTGAGGGGAATGAACCAACAGAAAAAAGAGAATGACTCCAACCACATTATTATTGTCTGCCAGAAAACCACTCCCAGGAAGTAGAGAGGTTTTTTTGTTTATTTATTTGTTCATTCAATACATATTTATTGCATGTCTACTATATGCATGGCACTGAGCTCGGCACTAGCTCTGACTTTTTGCATTTTAATTAAAGCAAGCTTATGAAGACACACTTGAGTGAGTTTTTAGAGTCTTCTAAGGGACATATATGTAATTCAAAGTGAGACCGAGTATACACTGCAATTCACAAGACATCAGTGTGATCTTCTAAGAGACATCTTTTAAAATATAGCAAGGTTGCATTTCTATTTATGTATTTCAGTTGTTGGCTGTTGTGGCATACTTTGGGAATTCTCTTCTTTCAACTTAGGTTCATTTCAGGGTTCTAAGCTTCAAGATGACAAGGTTTTTAGATTACAAACTGAAATTCTGGTTTATTTCAGTGAAGAATTTATGCAATGAAACACCAAATCCCCTGCCGCTAAACAAAAAACAACTGTGAATTAATTATTAACTTGTTATTTTTGCCTAAGGAGCTGAGAGAAATATGTGGATTTCAGGTTTCTAATTTCAAATCTAATTGAAATATTCACGTAACCTCTCAGGGAATAAAATTTGTACACTATTAGAAAACTTCGAGTTTCCTTAAAATTGTTCATGTGCCTTATTCTAACAGATACACTGTTAAAGGAGGAATCATATTCATTCATAGTACCACACAGGCACATTAAAGGAAGCAGAACTAATGCTCAAATCAATAATGACAGCATTTAACTATTGAAGCTATCGCACACAGTAATATGGTACATGAACTGTCTTTATACGTGAAAAACTTTATGAGTTGGAAAAACAGGAGATCTCCTATGAAAATACACACAATTTTCTTCTATGACTTTGTCTATAGTTTTTTTTGGGGGGGTGCTCTATAACGCTGTTCAAAATTTCCAAAATTCATCAAAATAGAGTAACAAAGGCAAGAAGTTATTCACAAATAGAAAATGAATGATTCTTGGAAAGTGCTTGATTCTAATAATATCTCTCTCTCTCTCTGTGTGTGTGTGTGTGTGTGTGTGTGTGTGTGTGTGTGTAAAACCAGTGATAAAATTAGGAGAAAATCCCAACACAAAGAAAGGAAAACTGTTTGAAGTGATGGATATGTTAGCTGCCCTGATTTGACCATCATACATGCACATGTATCTAAATATCACACTATACCCCATAAATATGTACAACTATGTGTCAATTAAAAATAACAATAAAAGCAAAAAAATCCCAAAAAATTATAGAAAAATATTAAATTGGTCCAATCCATATCAGAAAGCTGATGGATTCTTAATAAGCAATTAAAAGGTAGGACATCAAGAATTCATTTTCACCTTTTTGTGCTCAAGTCACAGAAAGCAACCACCATCTCTAATTCCAAAATGGCCTTTTGGCAAGCCCTTACAAGACATATTTGCTAGAAATTGATGATTATGTGCATTTACTAGCATTGGGTGCTGTAAAACAAGAGTAATACTATTAAACCAGGGTTGAGTTGGTACAGTACAGGTTGAGTATACCTTATCTAAAAATGCTGAGTCTAGAAGTGTTTTTCAGATTTTAGAGCATTTGTAGACTATATACCAGGGGAGCATCCCTGATCTGAAAATCTGAAATCTAAAATGCTCCAGCAAGCACTGCCTTTGAGCATGATGTCAGCACTCAAAAAGTTTCAAATTCTGAAGCATTTCAGATTTTGAGTTTCCCAGTGAGGGATGTTCAAGCTGCATTGTGATTCTAGAGAGTTGTGAAAAGTTACTCCCACAAACAGTGATTAGAAATAAAAAATCTCAACTAAGATACCACTCTAAATATTTAAAATCATCAAAAGTTATTCATCTGTGGTTCATAAGTGTGCTGACATAAAATTTGTTCATATTATTTTGATTCCAACATCTTAAAATGGTCACAGTTTTAATGTAAAATTCATATTCCTTTTAAAGATAAAATCATATACAGGGTCTTCACTTGCATTTTACCACCTATTTTATAGATTCCAGAAGTCATTCAACTTTTAAAAAACCCATTCACTAAACCATTTTATAACAATTTCCATAATTGCACCAGAATACACATACTCAAAACTGTACTGAAATATAACTGTATCTCTATAAAAATACTAGGGTGCCATGTCCAATGGCTGGTCAATAACTAGTGTGGTCACAAGTAAGGTCAAGAACATGAATAAGTTTTTAAAAGAAACTGATTCCTACTAGATACATCCTTGCAATTTTAGCTTCTTTCAATTCAGAGAAAGCAATCTATATTTCAAGAAGCATATTGAAAAGTGGCTGTCCCTACCCGTTTATCTGGTAATCAATTTGGGAATTAACATAAGCCTGCAAGCATCCTGGATATACTTTAACGATGTCAGTGACCAGAAGTACTCTGAGGAAAGGACAATTTAAAATGGAAACGTGTGGATTATTTCTGACTGTATGACTGATTCCTAACAGAATATCTTCCAATAACAAGATTAGTACCTTATGATTACATAATCCAGAAGGACCCTGGGGATTTTATTAAGAAGCAATAATAAAGCACCCTTAACGACTTCTTATGCCAAATCCCCCTCGATGTTCCAGTAAGGAGGGTGAGAAAGGTCGCCATGAGCACCACTGGCATCCTCTGTTGGTAAATGCATGCAGGAGAGTTGCAAAAGGAGAGCAGAAGATGACTGTCAAGTTGCACGTTTGGGAGGGTAAAACGATGGCAGAAATTCTACTGTCTCCCACTTCTGAAGCACACGGCAAGGTGACACTTCTCAGACTCCCCTGTGGCTAAGACGAGCATGGGACTAAGTGGTTCCCAACAGAGTGTAAGCAGGAATAAAAGGCCCTGAGTTCCAAGCCTTGGGGGAACACGCTGTCCCCACGCTCTACTCTCCTGCACCTCCAGGCATGACAGTGATCAGACTTGGAACAGGCAGGTGGGGACAATGTCCTAAGGGATTGTAGTCGCCCCAAAAGAAGGTACCTGGGTCCCTGATTGACCCCAGAAAATCGAGCCATCTGCTCACTTTAAAAGCTCTCTATACCACATTTTTAAAATTTAAAAAAAGAAAAAAAGCTCTATATAGACATAGGTAAGAGAAATTAACACCTATCTCCTTTCAGTCACTGAATTATTATCGGAATTCTCTGTTGTAGCAGCCCAGTCTTACCTTAACTGATACAAAAAGCTTACAGGACCTTAGGAATAACAATAAAAAGAGAAATGGCTCGTTCAGACTTAAAAAGAAAACTGCCCATCCTTCCTAGTGTGTAGTCCCTGGGTAACACTGTCCTGCAGCATGGCATATGTTACAAGACAAAAATGGCTTCCACACAAAAACATAAATGTTCTATGTGTTTAAAAAGAAATGTACACATTAGGGATAGATGGCTGTGAGGGGGACCAACTAAGCAACATGAATTTCAAACTTTTCAAAATCTGGGAAAGCACATGAGTATCATCACAGTGTTTCTTTGAAAGGTCAAATTCCTTAAGGAGCAAGACTGAATTCCCCGTGGCGCACCTCTTCCTCCTGCCCGTCACTCCTTTTCACGGTGGGCTTTGGCTTCACTTCATGGGCGAGAAGCTGGGCCTTGGGAGGCATGCAAGGAGGAGCACTGGTGTTCACAATTGGCTCCACTTCTCCTGGAAGCAGCAGCAAATCTGTTGGACATAAAACATTTCAGTTGACTCTGGCTCTAACTTCACAATTTACCTAAATCACCTAAAAGTCTAAAAGCCAAAAGAATGAAGCCAACATGCTCCGGTCAAGCCACAGGTTCATGGCACAAGCCCTGTCCTCACGTGGGAACTTGACACAAGGAATTCCCCTTTCTATAAAACAAAAACCACGGGTACATCTGTTTTATTTTATGTTGCAAAGTTACAGTCCATCCAGGTCTGAGGGAAAGACTGCTTCAGGGGTAGCTTGACTGTGCCTTTCACTCTCAACCCTGTATTTTCACATTTAGAGGAAAACAAGGCAAGAAGATGCTACTTTTCCCTAATGTCCCTGTATTTTCCTGAGGGAGTAAAGAGAAAGAAATGGAGTGCTGATTTCATCCTGTAACAAAGTGGCAGTATTTCAAAACATACATGTTAAAAAACAATAATGTCAGGAGGAGAAAGTACTTTAACTTGCAGCAGAATAATTAAGTACTCTGCCATACTCGAAATGCACGGTCTAATTGTCAACACTTGGCAAACAACAGCAATGCGCCTCCCACTTGTTTTGCACAATCACAAGAGTTCAATAACCGGTCCTGGCTTTCTGATCACTCCATGATAAGATTCTTCTCACACGTGTGATAGAACATGAATGCATCACAGAGAACCGGTGATCTTCCAGAGCTTTCTTTGAGAAGGAAAAAACAAAACAGAACAACAACAGGTTTCTCTAGGTTAGTCTAAGCTTTCCTAGGACCAGAAGGACTTGCTAGCGCTAGCCACACCCTGCAGCTGGCTCAAGATAATGCTGCCTACTACTCAAGGATGATCCTGATCAAGGCACGAATTAAGGCCCCCGTGGGAGTGATTAAATAACAACAGGCATGCCTTGGCCATTGCAAATGGTAGCAGATATAGCGAAATAATTGAGTAGGCACTAATACTCAAAAGCTGAAACTTATTTGAAATACATCTCACAAAAACACAGTTACAACAATCTTAAGACTCCAGAAGCAGAGAACATAGTCAGAACAACAGTTAGAAACTGAGAATTCCAGAGATGAGATGCAATGGTGAAGAAGGTAATTCTACTATGATTATCAAAATCTTAGAATATGATCTCATTAGTTAGCAGAAATAAAAATAAAAATAATAACCCAGCATTTTATATGGATTAACTCAACTAATCCTCCCAAAGCACTATTATTTCCCATTTCACAGGCAATGCATACTCTATGCACTAAGCATAACCTCACCTAACCCACATCTTTAAAACAAAATTTAAAAAATAAAATAAGATAAAATTAAGCTAAATTAAATTAAATTAAATTAAATTAAACTAAAAAGATCCCACAGCGAGAAAGGGCAGAGCCTGGCAGTCTGCCTACAAAGCCCATGCTATTTGCCCATGATGTTACATTATAAACTTCTTCTAAGTAAGCATTTTCATCATGTTTTTTTAAAAATTCAATTAGATTATACACTCAAATTCAGAGTGAAGAAATGTCACTCCTATAGCATATTAGCATGGTTAGGCAGCCTTAAGGACACTTCACAAACATTTATACCCAGAGAAAAGAAAGACTTTTAAACTCAGGAAGGTTGGTGGAAAGACTAGCTTTCTAACATGCATAGTTCTGAACTCAAAGCCAAACTTCCTCATCGAGCTCCCTCGTATGCCAGCCTCGGACTGGAACACGCCTGATTAGAGGCCCATCAACAACGGAGACAAGAAGAGGCAGGGTTAGACCTCTCTATCTGAAAACCATTATCTGCCAGACCCACTGGCTTCCAGTGCAAACCTCAGTTCAAATGTGAAGTCAAAATGAATTCTGCTTTCAGTTATTTAAAATCATCGTCTGATGGACGACACTGTGCAGCAAGGAGCACAACCTTGCAATTTCTTCACTGGAACTCTTCACTTCCCTAATCTACTTGCAAAGCAGGTGGGACTGTAAACCAAAAAATGCTTTCTTTAATGCCACAGGAACAATTCTTTCAAAAGAACAAGAGCCAGTATTCTCTACCTCTTCAGTCCTCGTCATTTATTCTTCAGTGTAGAAGCAGAATGCCCCAATGCCTATCTATTGGTGTCCGGCACAGTACCTTATACACGGCAAATTATCAACAAATGTTTGAAGCTAGGAAGTGATTTTCCTGCATCTCAACTTCTAAATTGAACAGCAAGTATCAAGAGTCTAACTGCCAATAAGACATTGTGGGCAGTGTAAAATAAGTATAGCTCTTACCCTCGAAAACTAAATGTTGTCACAGAAACAAAATTTTCACATATAAAATCAGCCAGAGGATAACCAAGAACAGAACTGAATGTATCTAACTCTAACGATGACAGATTTATAAAAGCATAAAACCAACAGAGATGAGAAGAGCCTGGTAAGGTATGTTATGAAGGAAGCGACTGCCATGTTTTAACCATTTTACAGTCTCTCTCTCTCTCTCTCTGTCTCTCTCTCTCTCTCTCTGTCTCTCTCTCTCTCTCTGTCTCTCTCTCTCTCTCTCTCTCTCTCTCTCACGTTTTCTCTGGGGGAAAAGTCATTGTATTTACTGATGGTGGGGAATGGAATTGCCCAAGTCCTGTGTATCACTTTCTAAAACAAATGCTTTAAAACAACAAAAAGCCTTGTTTTCATCTTAACTAAATGCCACCGTTTTGGCTGATGTGCTTTACAGAGTCAGGGCAACTTTCAAAAATAAATCTTGAGGTTGGGTGGCAGAACTGGTTGAAACATTTTAATCTCTTTGTTCTTAGCATGTTAAGAATTTCTAATATTTATAAAGTAGCTACCCATGCCATTTGTCTTTCGTATTTAGTCAACGATTATCAAGTAAAAGACTATTATAGCCATGTAATCTAATACAACATTAAAAAGTGAACAATCTACCTGACATCTGACAATTCAGACTATAGTAATATTTAATCTGCCTGGCATATTCATAAAATTAACCAATCTGTTTATTTGTTGCCATGTAAAATGACCAAAGTTTCCTGAAAGTTTGGGCATCTATATCCAAAAAGGATACTGATAAGAAATGTGTTAGCTATCCAGGCCTCTTCTAAACAGTTTCTAGCCACAATAGTCTTAACTTAGTGATTACTGAAGACCCCAAAAAGCTTTTGCTTAAGTGTGTTATACTGATCAACATTTACCATCTTAGAAATTAAAACTGACAAATATTCAAGTATTTATGTAATAGAATCCTTTAAAAAAAATCAGACTACATATTAAAATAAATATTTTTATAAAAATCTATTTTTCAAAAAAATATTGAGAAGAGAAGCATTATTTTACATTTTTTAAATCTGCTTTAATGCCTGGCTTAATAGAAGAAAGCTCGATTCTATATTTGCTTCTGCATTCAATTTTTAAAATATGCTGTTTTCGTTGAAGTAAATAAAGAACATCTAGACTCACACAGATAACACACAGGTTGGTTCCAATAAGCAATCTGAAATCATGTCAGTGAATTTTTCATACTCTTACATTAAAGTCCACTGGTGTATCTTGCATGTTGAATGAGTCTTCCTTCTCTGCATAATTTTGTAAAACATCATGAATTGGTCATTTGGAAAATACTGGTTCACTGTGTTATGTAGATATTCCAAATGTTGACATATTTCATTAAACAATATAAAAATCACGAGTTAATATCACCAATTTTGCCAGAAAAGCCTTTACGTATTGAGAAACTGTCAAGCTCACAGTACCAGACACAAGTTTTCTAAAAATCTAATTTTCACTTGATCCATTACCAGTTTGACAACTGGCACGAATACTATCAGTTGCTTGCCTTGAAGAGACAGGCTCACTTCATTCATTTTTGAAAAATACAGTTTGTCAGCTGGTCATTCTTTCACGTAAAAATGGTGAGCCTTGAAAAATAAACTAATTTAGCACACCACTCAATCAAGCAAGTGTTTTTCCCCCAAGACAACCACTGCATTTTAGTATGCAGCAGAAATCCCTTATAAATAATTACTATTTGGACACACAAATCACTAAAAAGAGTCAACGATCAAGATTTAATAAAGTTAATGATTGTTACTCCTTATCAAGGAATTTTCTATGGAAAGTAGCATTTGCTTTGCCTCTACATTTATGACAATGAAGACCACAACTGCAGTGTAATGTGGTGCCACTACTTTGCTTCACACTCAGGTGTCAGCCTCTTCACTCATCATTGCTTTCGCAGCATTTCCCAGGGGTTCCCAAATTATATCCTCAAGGGTCTGATGGTCTAGCTGATATCAGTCCAACCTCCCTACCATGAATAACTAGAAAAGCGAGATAAATTGTGAAAATCAACTATGTATTTAAAGGCATTAGAGAGCTACCAGGCAGTCTCACCTTTGAGGAACCAAAATCCCAGGGAGAAGGAAAGTGCTGAAGAGCGAGCCTAAGTATTTCAACTCAGGGCATTCACTGGTTTGCAAGAAGAGGCTAAGAAGCTGAGAAGCTAGAAGGAAAAAAAAGGGGCCAAGAGGCTGACAAACCTAGCAGAATCACCAAGAGATCTAGAGTGCTAGGAAATCAAATGCTAGAGTTCGATGCCTCCAAGGAGGCCTCTGTCTTACCTGGAGGGCTTCACCCCAAAAGAAACTGGGAGAGCTCTCACAAAGCAGAAGCCCAGCCCTATATCGTCTCCTCCTAGACCGAATTAAAGCGAAAAAGCTTCTCTAGAAGATGACATCATCTGAAGCCGACACAGTTTTCACACGCAATGTTGAGCATCCAAACAAAATCTTCCAGGAGTACAAAGACAACAGATTAGAAGGAAAAACTGTTTGTTTTAAAGTAAACTGCCAAATGTGACCTGTAGGTTATCCCACATATAAAAACTGGAAGAGTGGGAACTGAGAAACATCGTGAAACAATGATTTTCTCCCCTCTCGATGTTTTCAGTGATCACTGAGGCAATGAACGACTTGCTTGCAACAGCCCTGAGTGTAAACTAAGTGAAATGTCTACACTATAAGCTGATGAAATGCGCCATTTCCCCCTCACTCAGGACCTCTGTACATGCTGTTCCTATCTCTCCTGTCTGCCCTCACCCTCGCACCTCTGTCTAATTAATGGTTGCTCATCTTTAGATAAGGGCTCTTAGAGAGCCTTCTCTGACCCCATGGACAAAGTGCCCCACAACATGGTCCCATGAGATCTAGAGCAATTTGTAATCATACAATTGTGACTATATGGTTAATGTCTGATTCTTCTGATAAATTACAAATTACATGAGGACAGAAGCTTGGTCTGTTTTATTCATTATATTCTAGGCACCAGCCAGAGTTGTTAAACATTTGCTGCACAAGAGTCCCTGGTCATTCATAGTCTGCCTAATGCTACCTAAAGTTGAGATAAGGAAAGAATCTTCAAAAATTAGAGGTGACTGATGCCCTCGTGTGTGTACACTTGCCTGTCAACTGACTAAAAATAGTGGGAAAATAGTGCTATGGTTTGATATGGCTTGCCTGGCCCTACCGAGCCTCCTGTGGAAATGTGATCCCCAGGGCTGGAGGTGGGGCTTCTGGGAGGTATGTGGCATGGGGTGGATCCCTCGGGACGTCTTGGTGCTGTTCTCCCAGGGAATGAGTTCTCATTCCTACTTCCGGAGATGATCGGTTGCTGAAAAGAGTCTGGTGCCCCCTTCTCCTCTGCCATGTGGTCTCCGTACATATGGGCCCCTTCCCTTCCTCCTCAAGTGGAGGCAGCCTGAGGCCCTCCCCAGAAGCAGATGCTGGTGTCATGCTTCCTGTACAGCCTGCAGAACCATGAGCCAAATATACCTCTTTTCTTTATAAATTACCCTGCCTTAAGTATTCCTTGATAGCAATACACATGGACAGAGGCAGAAGAAGCTCCGAGCTGGAGAGCTTAAAAATGAAAATCAGACAAGGCTGTCAACCGTCGAGCAGGAGTTGGTGCCCACTCTCATTCAACACAGTCAACAACAGCATAGGCACATACTCCAGTCAAAGATGTATACACGACAGCATGATTCTGAGAAACACACCACAAAAAACAGTCTCTTCAGCCAAATGCACCCAGTCAGAGAAGAGGTGGGACCAACTGAGGGGGGAAATCAGCAGAGGAGTCTTCCTACCCTGGGGGTCTCCACGTAGTAACTAGCAGCTCTTCCAAATAATTTTGCGGGGTAGCTGTTTAAGCCAGAATGTCTGAGGCAGAACTGTCCCCAGGTTAACCACCTTACCTCAAATTCGAAGGAGGAAAAGGTGGCTAACTTGATGTCACATAAACACAGGGCATCAAATTTTGTGGCAAAATGTTACCCTCAGACAGCTGCTCAGTACCACTACACAGAGTTGGCCCCATTGAAAACCAGTCTCTACTCTTTCCACCTGGACTGCTAAAATGATATGCCAAATATTGGGAAAGAATCCTTCTCCTGAATCTTAGGGAATATTTAGGAGAGTGAATAAAGTGAAGAGATAAAGTCAATGGTAGAAAAACAATATGCAACCTACTTCCGTGTTGCCCCAGGCAAATCTGTTGCTTAAATAATAACAACAGAATTTAATCAGTAAACCTCCAGCTGTCAAAATTATACAAATAATTTAACTATTTAAAATGTCACATTTCCCATCTGATATAAATATTTATTTGTCTTCTGCTCACATTCCTGAAGTGTAATACAAATTAGGTCCAAACTAAAATTCACCTTGGCACAAACTACTTATTTTTTTTGTTCAAGTGTCGCATATTGTGAGTTATGAAAACTGTGAAGCCCTGGTGGCCTTTTTGGTAATTAGAATAGATATCTGACCTGGGTGGATTTTAAGCCTAGACTGCACATTATATTACTTGTGGGAAGGTAAAGACCAGTTAATTCAAGTCCACTGGGACTCAGTTCAGTCCTTGTATTTATACACAAATACAAGACTGCCTGTTATCTGATTTCTGAAAAAAAAATTATACCAGTTAGATTTTTAATTCAATTTTTAAAGTAAAAAAATCTGGTAATTAAAAAATGTAACTTGAAGAAATACTTAAAGAAAACATGGCCAGGCTTGGTGGCTCAGCCTGTAATCCCGTGCCTTTGGGAGGCTGAGATGAGTGGATTACCTGAGCCCACGGGTTTGAGACCCGCCTGGGCAGCGAGACCTCATCTCTACAATAAATCAAAAAATCAGCTGGGCGTGGTAGCGCATGCCTGTAATTCCGGCTACTTGGAAGGCTGAGGCGGAAGGATCGCGGGAGCCCAGCAGGGCGAGGCTGCGGTGGCCGGGAGCGGCCACTGCACTCCAGTCTGTCTGGGCGACAGAGTGAGACTCCAACTCAAAAAAAAAAAGAAAAAGAAAACATGAATGGGCATGGTGACTCATAGATGGAATCCCAACACTCTGGGAGACAGAGACAAAAGGATACTTGAGGTCATGAGTTCATTACCAACCTGGGTAATACAGCAAGACCCTGTTTCCAAGAAAAAATTTTTTAAAAATTAACCGGATGTGAGGGCATGGTTCTGTAGTTTCACCAACTTGAGAGGCTGAGGCAGGAAGATAGCTTGAGTCCAGGAGGCTGAGGCTGCAGTGAGCCAAGATTGTACCACCGCACTGCAGACTGGGATACAGAGCAAGATTCCACTACTAAAAATAAAAAATAAAGGAAAGAAAACAATGTGAAAATAATGTAGAGAGCGAAAAGTCAGTTTTGTTGGCTATGTTGGTCTATGTCGGTATACAGACCTTCTCGTTGCTGGCAAAATGTGAGAAATTTAAGCCATGACCAAAATGCCCAACATGTGCACTTTTGTGCCCACTTGTCAAACTGATTTTATACTGCATATGTGTTACATGCAGACTACAACCATTTGTCTCCGCATGCCATCCTCAAACTAAACTATATCAGAGTCCTTTGAGGCCTCGCTTAAAATGTAGATCACTAGATACCACCATTGGTTCCCAACAGAGAATCTGAATTAAATCCCCTATTGGGAGCAGGATCCCAAAGTCTGCATTTTAAATACGGTTCCCTCCCTAAGTCAAATCACCCAAGACAAGTGCTTGATCTCAGCATCCTGAATTCTCCCTTCTAATACATTTGGAATCCCTATGCTGCTCATATTACAGAAATCCTGAGCTCTCCGTGGAGAATGTGATTCCTTTAGATATCTGATCCCACATAAACCTAAAGAACATAAAGAATAAACATAGAGAATCTGCAAAGTCTATGGTTAACAGGGTGCTTGAGAAGCAATCCCTTCACAGAGCAATCCCTTCATATATCTGCTCCCCAATATGTGGACGCAGAACAGAAGTGTTAATTGCTTCCAATTATCAAAGCCTCTCAAGTTCAAGCAAAGAATCCAGAGCAGAGGCTTATACAACCAAAGCACAGATAGTTGCCATTCTCAAACCAACGACCCCAGTCACTTCAGCTTCTGTCTGAGGATAAGTAAACCATCCTCCCCCCAACAACAACAACAATCACCCCCCCCAATTCATATCTATGACAACCTAGAGACTGTAAACAACAGTTAACCCTCTATGGAAACTGCCACTTCTCTAAAATTTAGCATTGGCTTTGAGATACTCTTACATATTAAATCAGAAATGAGTGTTTTTCTTTAAAAAAAAAAAACACCCAATTTTGGACACATCTCAAAGGTTCTTTGATAACAAAGAATGCCTATACTTAACCCAGAAATGTTAACCAGGACAGAAAAAAGTTATCTTCTATATACACATCAACAGACTAGCATTAAGCCACTTCCAGTTCAGTTCATGTGGAAAAATACCCCAGAAGAAACATTTATATCTTTAGTGTTAAAAGTTTAATTTACAGCTGGGCTCAGTGGCTCAGCCTGTAATCCCGCACTTTGGGAAGCTGAGGTGAGTGGATTGCCTGAGCCCGCGGATTCGAGACCCACCGGGGCAACTTGGCGAGACCTCATCTCTACAATAAAAAAAAAAAAAAATCAGCCGGGCATGGTAGCACGGGCCTGTAATTCCAGCTACTTGGAAGGCTGAGGCGGAAGGATCACTGGAGCCCAGTGGGCCGAGGCTGCAGTGGCTGGGAGCGGCCACTGCACTCCAGTCTGGGCGACAGAGTGAGACTCCAACTCAAAAAAAAAAAAAAAAGTTTAATGTACATATTTAATGAATACTTTTAAGAGCAACACCTTGGATTTTCTTTTTTTGTTTATTTTTGTGATTGATTCTGATATTTTAATTATTTTTATGACCAATTGATATTTAAGCATCCCTTGAAAATAATCTCAATTTGCAAGACTGTACTTCTAGAAAATAAGGAGTTGACTTTATAATGGCTCTACTTCAGACAATTACACAAGAATCAATCTTGGTAAGCTGCGAGGAGGGGCGGGGCATCTTTGTTTCACTTAAGACCAAAGGTTTTACAACCTTCAGAGGTTTTGACCTTTCAGCTGAAATCTTTGTTATTGAAAAAGAAAGCTCACAACTTCAGTTTTTCCCATCTCAGGAGAGGTGAAGGCAAGGATCACCAAAAAAGGAAAAGAAAGATGTCAAAAAGTATTATTTACAGTTTCTAGAAAAAGGTCAAGCAGTATAGAAAGGAAATAAAAAAACATACCCTTGCTCATTTGAGGATTAATCTCTTCATCCATGTCCAAATCTTCTAAATCAAGGAAACTGTCTACCTAGAAATGGATTAACATAATTTTATGCATATTAGATTTAAAGAAAAAAATGCAATGAAAAGTCAATGAACCCACTTCCACAACACCTAACAGAACAGCCGAATCCACTTTTCTCATTAACTCTTGAGTCCTAGCTCAAGAACTTGGTGTTCACCGTGCTTTCCCAGAGATGTACAAAAGAAGTGAATTTGGAATTGGCCTGGACTTTGTAGGCACCATAGTCAGACTTCTGTACTAAAAGGGAAGAAACAGTCTGGGAGTTTTTGAAAGGGACTTTGTTCCAGATTCTATTCCAGAATATATACCACCACCATGATGGTCCAAAACAGTGTTTCTGGGTTTTATTTTCATTTTATTGCTTTTGCCTCTCAAGTAACACCATGGTGGTAGGGTTGGCTATTATCATAACAGTGATTACAGCACTCTGAAGAAGCATAGAGAAGACACTAAAGAAACCAGGAGAGAAAGGTTCACGCAAAACAAAATCACAAGAGAGGTGAGCAAGGCCAAAAAAATCAAGTGTTCTCTCTTTCAAACAAATAAAACCAATAATTGCTTCAAAGGTAAAAAAGCAGAGGAAATGACCTTTACAGACAAAACAGCAGCATTTCAATGAAAAACTATTCCACTTGGGATACTGCTTTCCACTGCAAGCTGACAACGAGACATTTTAGATTAACAAAATGGTAACATTCAAGACATGGACTAATCATCTCAAGTAAATATCAAAGAGTATAAATAAGCAAATGATCTCACCACTGGCACCAATGAGACCTTGTAGGATAAAAGCATAAGGTTGCAATACCTTTCATGCTCGTGACCTAAACGTGTGCATGACAAAATATCTTAAATTCCAAACTAAGATTTCATGATTGCAATTCAAAAATCAGGCTGTGTCTTTCTTGTCCCAGCTCCACTTGCCATACCATGGCTATTACACGGGAATTAAAAATGGCTTTTCCATTGCTTATAAGGACACACCTGCAGTTATTACTTGGCATCCAAGGGACAGCAAAAATTTATCTTCCATATGACGGTTCCAGTACTAAAATTTGAGATTCTGACATATTATATTGTCATTTTACTTAGTGGTAGATGCTAAGGGGGACTGGAGTCACGTTTCTCTATCAAGCACCCCTTTCATTTGTTTAGCGTTATGGAAAAAAGACCCAGGACCCAGCCAACTATGATAGCTTAAGATATTCAAACATCAATTTAAAAACTTGTAAGGACAAAATCCGAATTATTCAATTTTGTATAAGGGACAGCAAATGAGTCCTCTTTTTAGTTTGTTTGCTGTGTTTGTGTGTGTGTGGTGTCTATTCGTATGTTTGCCATGGAAGAAAACCGAATCACGCCATACCTTCACCTTTTCTGCCTGATTCAGATCACCTTGCAAGAAATTGCCAATTTGTTGGCCTTCATTCACCACTACCTGAAAATACAGTGAGGACATACTGATAGAAAAAATGAAACAACCCAAAATAAAAGAGCCCTTCAGACAATAAAAACTTCCAGTTCTTGTCTGTGATCTATGCATGATAGGCCAGGTTCCATAAGCTATAGAGGTGGTCAGGGAATAGTTTTAGGAGCCCTGATTCTACTTCTGACCTCTAGAAGTGTTCACAGGGCAACCCAGAGTAGATTACTTAACCCACTCTTCTCTTCTCCTCCTATCCCATCCCAGCGAACTGGTGATGGACAGATCAGAGAACACCACCACAACATTTTCAAGTTGTTAGAAAACAGTGTCATTCAACCATTCTTTGTCTCTGATGGCCAGTAATTGCCAGTAAAGAGTGAGTCCTCTAGGAAAACAAAAAAAAGTTCATGTCTCACAATCACCTCACTGGAAGCAAGTTCTGGAAACACAGAATTATAGAAAATAACAGGCATCTGCTATACATAAATACATTTCTAACACAGACATTTTGGGTCACTTCTCCATAATGTAGTGGGGAAGACATGATGAGGCAGAAATTAAAAACTCAAAAGTAGAACAGCTTCCACTATGATTCCTTGATCATTAAAAACCATAGCTGAGGAGAACGTAAATGGAGTCCATAAAGTCTTAAAGATTAGGAAGAGAGCACCCAGCATTTATTGACCAAATCTTGGGAAAACCAAGATAAATGATTCTACTTTAAGTTTGAAAGAGATGAATCAAGAAAGCCCCATTTTATACAAAGAAGTATTTAAAAAAAAAAACAAAAACTCTTTTGTCCCAAACAGAAGAAGATAAGCTAAAAGGTAGAAATCATTTGAAGGAGAAATTATAGACAGTAAATCCTTAAGAATTTTTTAATGAAAATTGGGGATAACCAGTTACCATCATAAACAATGACTGTTAAAAATAACTAAATATAATGATGATTTTCCATACAGTGCACCAATGGCACTCTTTCTAAAACTAGGAGTTACAGATCCAATAACTGTCTAATATTTCTTAGGGACTCTTTTCTATTCATGAAAAAATGCTTTTCTTCTGAGCTGTTTCTGTAAGTATATTATGCTATTACCTGTTCTTCTGAACATTGGGATGAAGTATGAAGAAATATGGTTTCATTGCTGAGATGGTGGTCATCTGCTTCATTTTTATGAGCAAGTTTTGCTGAGATAAATACATTTTCTGAGGAAGTTGTTCCAAACACTCCCCTTTTGGTCACATGATCCTCTGAAATGATAAGTTATATAGCATTAGAAAACATCCACCACCCCAAGTCTGGTTTATTTTGTGTTTATTAAGAAACTTTATTTTAACAAAAAAGAATACTTTTCAAAGAACTCTACAAAATGAATGCTTGGGGCATTAAGCACCCTTAACTTTAAAAAGTTATCTAAAAATGGGTAGAAAGATAACACTATCTCATTCAACATTCAACAAATATTTATTGAGTGCTTACAATGTATCAAGTACTGTTCTTGGTCATTGTTAAAAAGTCAATAAAGCACATTATTACCAAGACTCTTGGATATCACATATCCCACTTTGAGAGCTTTCTCCTTAGTAGGGAAGCAATGTATAGATGATTGTATAAAATGTGTAAGAGATAAAATAAAATATAAAAATCACTCATAAACCTACAAGCCAGAAAAGCCACAACAAAATTTTTTCAGTGGCTGTACTTCTGAAAGTCAAAATGGCATCATATTATACATATCATATTATAACTCAACTTGCCAGCAATATCTTTCATGCTACTAAATATTCTTCTATATAATTTCAATAGTTACAGAGAATTCTATTATATAAATACAAAACAGTTTATTCAACCACTTCCTTATTCTTGACTGTTTAAGATTATAAACAATGAATACCTTAGCATTAAATTCATGTATATTTATAATTATCTCCTTGGGCTAAGAAAAGAGTCTAAAGATTAATCCTAAATTAAGAGACAGAGAAAATTACAATATCATGATGCCATTAACAGAAATGTGAGGGAAAACAAAATGAAGTAAGTTTGTTAAGAGATAATGAATCTAGTTTTGGCCATGTTGCATTTGATGTGCCAGTGAAAAGCGTGATAAAAATGACACAAGGCAGCTGCAAATGTAAGCTAAAATCTAAGATAGCTATCACAGTTGTAGGTAAGTATCTGATTGTCAGTCACACTGAAGTAATCGTTTAAGCCATCAAATTATTTTTAATGTTAGTAGTAATATCACAATTAGTAATCAGGGTTAACATTCATTGAGTATCAGGCCCTCTCAGGGAGCATCTCTTGAGTTAACTCATTTAATCCTCACACTACTCCTAACGTAGACACTGTTATGTCACCCACTTTACAGAGTAGGGAACCAAGGCTGACAGCACGATAGAGTAACCTGTTATCAGACAGTAAGTAGCAGAATGGGAATCTGAACCCAGGCCTCCTGACTCTAGAAACGATCCTCCTAACCACTGTGCCTTGCTACCTGGGATAATAGAACAAACCAAGAGAACAGAAAGAGAAAGATGCAGAAAAGGGCCGGGGTCGGGGGGGGGGGGGGCGGGATCCCAGAAAGGAGACAAAGAAGAAAAGCTAACAACAATCAAAGAGCCAAGGATCAAAGAGCCAAGGGTCAGAGAACATTCTAAAACTGGAGCTCACCTGCTCCAATGACAATGGCAATATGGGGGAACATATGCCAATGATCATTTCGAGGAATAAAAAAGGAATTCAAAAAGTCACGTGGCAGAAATCAACCCAATTGTAGACCGGAGATCCCCTTACTAGATCTCCCATTGAAATGTTGCAGAGACACAATTGTTTCATCTGTGAGCTCCTTAGGCAGGTCCCTAACTAAAGGAAGGGGTCATGGATAGCCCAGCCCAGCCCAGCAGAGTGGCTATATCTGCTTCTCTTGAGCTGTCAATCACACGGCATCCAAATCGGTGCAATTCACGATGCTGTAATGATCACAGCCTGGTGCAAGCCCAGTTAAAATCCCTTGTTTGCCTCTGAATACCCCATCATGGGTAGGATTAAGGCTTGTAAGGATGTCTCTAGGACATTAACATGGAAATACTGTCAGGGAACGGAGACAAGGTAACCTAGTGACTAATACATCATTAGTAAACCAGAGAGGGAAAACGCAAACTTTCTCTTTAAAAAGGGCATATCCATAAATACAACAAGCTCAGGCCAGCTCTCTACTGCTGCCTACTGTACCGGCACCAGAGACTCCTAACCAGCTACCACTTGGAGAGGCGCCCCCTGCTTCTTGCCTCAACACGCGCCAGCCTTGCCGCTGTATGTGGAGGGGCTGGGGACTGAGTAAAGTATGGAAAGAGTCACCAAGAATCCTGCTGGGGCAACCAGCACTGTGAGGGCTCTCCCCTTGTGCAGCCACAAGATGTCCTGAATGGGTCCGAGGGCAACTGTGAGCAGTGGTAGCACAGACAGGCACGGGGACCCTTGCAAACAGAGGGGTCAACTGAGGAGTGAAAGGTTCCTCAAATTTCACCCCAGCTGGGAGAGGAGACTTCCTGGGGCTAGCCCATTCCTCAGTGCACCAGCTCCTAGGAGGTGGGATCAGCTCCGTTCTCTGCTTATGCTTTAAGTCAAGCACAACTTAAATCTAGTATTTACTAAGAAAATATTGTGTGCCCAGCAAAACACTATTGCAATAGTCCACGGACTTAAATACCTGAAAAGCACAGCGGGGTCTGAAAATAACAGGTGTTCTGTGAGACCAAGTTCTCTTTGTTCTCACAATCACTCAGTGTGCTCTCCCCTCTTTCCAATAAAACACTCAGGTTATCTGACAGGTAATCAGATGAAACTCCTTTGAAATCAAGCACAACATAGAATGAAGTCCCAGCTTCTGATGCTGATGTTGACCCATTGTTGGGATCTCATATCTGACAAAAGTTTTTGTCCACTCTTTTAAAATTCCTCCTCTTGTAACCATACGGTTTTCATTTTTAAAAGACCAGAAGATTCAGAAAAGTACCTGTTCTCTCCCCAACTAAAGCTGAAGTTTAAGGCTTTAAACTTTCTAAGCCTCAACACTGGCTTCACAAGTACACATGCTGAATACCTGCAAAGACCCAGGAAGTGCCCCTTCTAGAGGCTTTTGGTATTGTCTTTAAACCCCAGCAAATAATAATGTCTTGGCACAATGAGGCAGGAAAAAGTCCTTTTTCAATGTGATAATGTCAAAATGGCAGATGTTGGCACGGCCCAGGGTCCCAGGCGGCTGAAAGCCTGATGACGAGTGAGCCAGATGCTGTCTCCCGGAGTCGCCCTGGTGGCAATCCAAATGTCCACCCAAGTGTCCTCTCATCTTCTTCTGTTTCTGTTTTTCAGCAGAGTCTGGTTCCACCCTTTCAACTATCTCTAATGTTTCTTTCTTTGAAATAACTATCAGGTATAATACAGTTTAGAAATCTAACAGCAATATTTCAGAGAACAAGTAGGTTATCGAGACCTGAAAGAGTATTTCTTTAGGCATTTCTGGATCAAAACTTCAATACAAATGAGACAAAGATTTTTTTCTAAAGGTTTTAAAGTTTTCATTATTCTGAAGCAATAGAATTTCAATTTCTTTTTGATACCAAATAGACAAGATTCTGACTGATGTCTCCTCCAAGGCCCCCACTATACCTGTGGTGGCTAATTTCTAACCAAAGAAAAAGGTTACACTCCTTTAAAAGGTTGAAATGTTTGATGCCTTCATAAATTTGATACTAACCACATACTGATTATATATCTTCCAGATTTAAAAAAAAAAAAGCGATTATTTTTGGAGAACTCAATTTTGAAAGAAACTTTTTAAAAGAAATTAAAATTAATCCATATAAAAGGCAGACTAGTGTCTGTGGGCTGAGAAGTTCCTGCCACATTTGTGGGGGGGTGTTCACAGGTCAGCACGGCCAACACTAGAACTCACAATCAAATCCTGCCAGCAACCTCAGAGTGTCAGCAGCAATGTAAATCAGGAGCACATTCTCAGTCCAGAAGAGATGCTGAATATATTGCTAGAAGGAAAGAATAATTCATGGGGGGGGGGGGGAATTCCCTGCAACACCGGGCAATCGCAAAACGCCTTCTGCAAAGAGAACAGGGGATAAGCAATCATAAGCCTGTAACAAGTCATGATGCTGAAAGTCAGGGCATAGTTTTCACATTATACTCCCTGCCTAAAGCAATGCTTCTCTGGACAGTCATATTTGCTCTTGATTTGTCCAGCCAAACTACTCCACTCCACTGCTTCTTCATCACATGCTTCTTGGTGTTGGCCTCCCCTGGAGCAATGGCTGTCAGAATTAAGTAAGCAATTTAAAAACCAATCAATCATAAAGCAGAGTAAATCCAAAGAAGCTAAATTCAGCAGGCAAGTGTTTTGTCTGAATTCCCTTTGCAGTGCTCTGAATTCCAACTGTTTTATGTTCTTCATTTGAAAGCTCAGCCGGGCTCGGTGGCTCAGCCTGTAATCCCGTGCCTTTGGGAGGCTGAGGTGAGTGGATTGCCTGAGCCCGCGGGTTCGAGACCCGCCTGGGCAGCGAGACCTCATCTCTACAATAAATCAAAAAATTCAGTCAGGCGTGGTAGCGCATGCCTGTAATTCGGGTTGCGGTGGCCGGAAGTGGCCACTGCACTCCAGTCTGGGCGACAGAGTGAGACTCCAATTCAAAAAAAAGAAAAGAAAGGGCACCCAAGGAGAGGCTCACCTCAGCCTGGCCAGTCAGGAATAATTGTATTTTCCCCGAGGCTGGATGATAATCCACTCAATATTCACAGTCATGGCCATCAACCTGCCACGCACAAATTCACAACCCTGGCCTGGAAAAATGTGTGTGAAAAGGCCTAGCCAAGGGATACAACAGCAGTAAGTTGAACTGTTTGCAAGGTCCATTCTAAAACTGGAAACAGAAAAATGTGAAGAAAGTATCAAGTTGCTAAAGGTTAATTTTCAGGAAGAAAATCTGTGTGATAGTTTAGTTACAGAGCTCATTTAATCCAAAAGTTATATTCTGGGCATCAACTATGCACAAGGTGACAGATGGGTCCTACACCCAGTCCCTGCGTCTACAGAGTTTACAAACTAGGAAGTTAAGCCATGTATGCAACTCAGCAACATAGAAGGCACCTGCGGCCCATGACGCAGGGAGGTACCAAGTCAGAGAAATGATAAAGTCATAATCGGTGCGGGGGAATCACAAAAGGCTTCACACAGGACGGGGCA